TCTCTATCGCGAATTTTCGATTCTCGAATTTTTCCATATTACGTCGCAGTCGTTCTCGTCGCCGTGCGCTCGCGCCGTGAATGCTAAACGGCGGATTTTTATAGCCGCGTAGCCGGTCGCGAAATTCTAAACTCCTCATTTAATCATCCGTCGTCGTATAACTTTATAAACTACCCCCGCGCGGTCATGGCGAGAACGCCGTTAAGCTAATGTAAATATGTTTGGAATTACGGCGCAGCGCGGCGTGGCGCGGCGCAACGCGCTTACGTACACACCAGGTGCAAATCCTCGCGAAATCGCCATTTCCAGCGGCGACGCGAATCCACTTGGCATTTTTCTCGACGAATCCAGCGGGCGACCTTTTTTCACGTCGTTTATTCTGTCGCGCGCGCGATGAAAAGTTTAAAAATTGGTTTGAATTTTCTGCGCTCTCCCGTAACATGCTTATTTATCCGTATCGCGATCCATTATTAGATTTCACGCGACAACAACTGCGATTTAGAGCCATCCTTCTTCTCTCTTCTTTCTCTTCTTTTTTTATCCTTCTCTCTGTTTTTCTTTGACGATTGCACATCAGAGAAAAAGAGAGGGGGAGAGAGAGAGACAGAGAGAAAAACGCTATTTATTGACTATTAATTAAATCCTTAACGTTACGATTTCGTGTAACGTAATTCTTAATTTAATTAAGTTATTGAAAATTTTATCTTATAATAATTAACGATAATAATGTATCATAATGCGACCGAGTATTATGAGTAATATCAGGTGTGTGCCAAAGTTTTAGTGTTCTTTTTTTACGGTACCCATTTTCCGAGCTTTTGAATATTTCCCATTTCATGCTGTCGCCTTGAAGCTGTTGTTTGGTCCGCTCTGAGTTGTTCTGCAAGTTCTACTTACGTTTGGGATGGATTTTCATTCAACAACGCTTTTAAATTGTCGGCGTCAAGCTTTCATAGCGTTCCAGAGCGCGGACGATCATTGATGTCGACATCGTCTTTAAAGCGACAAAACTAACATTTGTACGCGTTGTGTATAATATTTTCCTCAAGAAACTGTCGAATACAAAGCATTTATGTGCACCATAAAAGAATTATAATGAATGACGTTTTAGGAAGTTCGATACCAACTTTACAGAAATGCAAAACGGTGGGAAAACATTTCAGTTCAAAATAATTACATGACAGGGTTGAAAAAAATGGCTAAAACTTTCGCACACACCTAATACAATTCGCCCCTGTACTTGATAATATTTGTCATAATATTATACAATTTGAACACAGAAGAGTAACATTATATGTTTCCATTCTTTTTTCTTCTTCATTCTTCTTCATTCATTAAAGAGATGCTTCTCGCTTGGAGAATTTATCCGGGATTTTTTAGAAACGAAAAAACGAAAGTTAAGATTAATTATATCAAACTGAGAAGAAAACTCACGTACCATTTTGCAAAAATCGTAATAGTTATTAAGTTATTAACGATTGAAAATGACCACATATAGAAGGATTTTTAATTTGATAACTTGAAAATCTGCGTGCTCATTTGCAAAATGGCAAAGGACCTTTTTGTTCAGAATTACCCAATCTACAATTATATGACGACTGCTGTATGTAGCGATAAATATGAATATATTGAACTTTGAACCTGTTAGGCATAATAGCCTTTAAATAATTGTAGATCAGGTCATTCTGAACAAGAAAGTGCTCTATCATTTTGCAAATAAGTGGGCCAATTTTCAAGTCGCCAATTAAAAGAGTTTCTTGATGTGGTCATTTTCAATCATTAATAACTGTTAATAACTTGATAACTGTTGCGACTTTTGCAAAATTGTACATAACTTTTCCTCTCAGTTTGATCTTATTAATCTTCACAACTTTTCGTTTCCAGAAAATTCCAGACCCCTAATATATATCTTTAGCTTGAATATACCTAAAGAGGACGCACATTTGGGTTCCACTGGCAGACTATTCCGCATTCTGGCCACAGTACACTTGCATGAGCGCATGTGAAGCTTAGTATGGCACTGGGATACGACCATTAGACCGCTGATGTCGATCTCATGCCTCTATTTTGTTGTATCTTAGAGAGAAAGAATGGGAGAAAGAGAGAGAGAGAGAGAGAGAGAGAGAGAGAGAGAGAGAGAGAGAGAGAGAGAGAGAGAGAGAGAGAGAGACGAATTTTTCTATCTTTCCCTTATCTACGGCATGAAAGTTAAAATATATCCGAAGCAGTTTTGAAGCCGGAGAAATTCCCCGGCCGTAGATAGTTGCAAAATCCTCCGTGATAAAGCACAAAAAGAAAAATGAAATTCCAGACTTAAGAAAGTTAAACAGGATCTAGATTGGCACGAGAGCGTCCCGCGGATACGCAGGGACGTGCGCGGGAAGTTGCGCGCGCGAGAAGCGAGATCTAAGTACTCTTAAGAAGCGCGCCCGCGCGGTGTTTACCTTGCCCGCAAGCAGCAGCTGCAAAAATATCAGGAATATCGCAGCAGCCAGGTATTGTGCGTCCCGTCGATCCCGCCGCTCGATAGAGGCGCGCGCGTATCGAGCCTCCGTCGAAATTCGCACAAGTGGACCGGTTTGCTAATCCGCTTACGCCGACAGTGGGATTCGCGACGGCGGCATATGCGCGTCTGTGCGTCCGGCATTTTGGATTTTCCTCGTTTTCCCCCCCCCCCTCTTTCTCCGTCTCTCTTTCTTTTTCATGCGTCATACGTTTCGTTCTTTTCGATTCGCGCGAACGCAGGACACGTCGTAAGAAGCGCGATCGGTTCCTCGCTCGACGGCGCTTTTATAGCGCGATTGCATCCCCCTCTTGCCCCCTGCGCTCCCTCCGCCATGCGCGATCCACTGCACGCGTTCATTTCGATCACTTTGCGGGATTACCGCGGGAGTTCCTCCCCCCCCTATAGGTGTATCCGTAAATATAAAATACCCACTCCCGGGATAGTCTGTGGAGCGCGCGCCTTGTTAAATGCACTTGTCCCGGAAGAAAGGAAAGCAATTTGGAAACAGATTGCATTACGAGCCGGGATAAGACGATAACGTTTATCCACGGTTAAGGGGAAAGAGGAAAGGACCCGAGAAAAAAGGACCGAGAGAGAGAGAGAGAGAGAGAGAGATAAAGGGGGGAGGGAATGTCCGGTAAGGAACGACTTATCGTTTGAGGCGTCCACTAATTTTCGTGAAACCTTCGTGTATTCATCATGTGTTTGTTTATTGAATCGTTCACTTCACCCTCGTCTCTCTCTCTCTCTCTCTCTGTCTTTTCCTCTCTCCCTCTTTCTTGCTCTTCCTCTTTTAATCTCGGCACTGTAAATATCCGGTAGCCGCGCAATAATTATCTCCCTCAAGTTACTTGCGAAACTTGCTGGATAACGCGATTTAGAACGGCACGGTCTTCTGGACTGCATTCTAGTCGCGCGAATTATCTAGCAAATACCGGGGCGGCCTTAAACGCGCCAGCTCTCTGGAAATCAGCCTGACTGTTATTAAATTTTCGTATGTGCGCTATCGCAATGCACCTACGAAACCTAGAGAAGTAGACACGGTGCGAGCGAGCGAGAGAGAGAGAGAGAGAGAGAGGGAAGAAGAGGACAGAGAGAGAGAGAGAGAGAGAGAGAGAGAGAGAGAGAGAGTGTGTGTGTGAGAGAGAGAGAGAGAGGGAGCGAGATTAAAACGGCCAGGTGGGTAATATTGCCGACTTGTTCATACAGTTACCAACACATGGCGCTGTTAATCACATCGAATTACAACACATGCGAGCAATGCATTTTGAGATATGCGAATCTAGTTAGTCCACCGCTGGTGTTAATGCGCTGCGCCCGCGCGCGCGGGGGCTAGGGCTGGAGGGGAGAAGGGTTGGAAGGGCCGGAGGGAGAAATTGGGATACATCGTTGGGCGCGAATTGAACGTTGTGTACTCCATATCGTTTATGAGCGAGGCTATTGCGTGCTTGCCGCGCGGCAATATCGCAAAAGTGCATGACGGACGTTCACGGTCCGCGCTGCTCTCTCTCTCTCTCTCTCTCTCTCTCTCTCTCTCTCTCTCTCTCTCGCTCTCGCGATGGACATTTCGGGGGACGGGCGTGGCGCGACGGCGATTTCCGCGAGAATTTGGCTAAACCAGATGAACAGCCACTTAGCGTCGGGCTTGATTTTCCGTCGAACGGACGCGGCTGACATCGTGGCGTTTTTCGGAGGAGGAGACGCAATTTTACATTCCGCAAATCCGCTCTCGGGAATCGCCGCGACTTTCAGTCGCGTGGCTGGTGCGACGTCATGCGACAGCTAATGTGTCGTCGCGCCGCGCCAAGGTCGCTCGACGTTTTTCCCTAATGATCGCAGATCGCGTGGTTTTTCTTCCTTCTCTTTTTCGGCCCGGCGAGACGGCTCGAATGACGCGTGGGGAGCTTCCGCGGGAAATTTACGAGCGCTTCAGCGGTCGTCGGCGGTGAGGCGATGCGTACGCTCTCTCGTGGATATCAAATCACGTCATACATATATTAACCTTTTCGATGTCGCAGAGTCGGAATGTCAAGTGGTTACAGTTGGTTACAGCTGCGCCGATCCACTGGCACGGCAATATATATATATATATATATATATAACACCCGAGAGAGATGGAATTTAATAGACGCCACATTTTGCCCTACCGTGTAACGACGTATTATCGATTATTACGGCGGCTTGTAGAGTCCGCGATACCTTCCATGTTTAGATTTTCATTCCTTTGTGTTCATCCGCCACGTTTATGTTTATACTCGATCTTCTTCGTACGCAGTGTTTTAAAATAAATTTTAGGTCACACTCGAATAAAATTCGACGCATAGAGCTGAGCCTCGGGATTACGTCGGGATATATACGATTTCGCTGCACCAATTGCAAACCAAATTGAATAAAAAGTCGAATAGGTTGGGCAATCCGGCGTGGAAATTTGGACTATGAAATTTAATCAACTGAAAAAGGTTAACGAGACTCAAACACGTAATCGTATGCGTAGATATAAATGTATTTTCAACTACCAACAATCGATTCAACTGCACAATACGAGTATAATACAGTCATATACAATATATACATACAAATTTATTTCTTGATTGAACATTCGGTAAATTACATGACAAACACAGCCGAGGATGCATCGAGTCGACCTCTTATGGTCAGCCTCGTCGAACTAGATCTTGAGCTTGTTTTACGCAAATATATAAAAGCCAAAGAAACACCCGAATTTCTCCGAGAGAACCAGAACACTTAATTGGCCGTAAGCAACTCCGAAATGAAACTCCCATAACACAGCAGAACCAGCAAAAAGGTCACAAGCAACCATTTGTGCTTTCTTCGAAAACTTATGAAAATTTATGACATTATATTTCTAATTAATGCTGAAACTAACGCGACACAATGAGTAATCATCTTTCTTCATTGTCCCTTTTCATCATTCGTCTCCTTCGAAAATTTGTCATTTCTCTTTTTTTTTTAACCTTTTCCTCCTTTTTATTCTGAGAATCTTATTCGCAATATTATTATCTAAATTACTGTACACCAAAGGGGTCAGACCCATATATTATTAATAAATAATAAATAATTAAATTTCGATCGCTCTCATAGGGTAATCTCGGATTATACGGGAAAGATGGCCACAAGTTGCAGTTTCTCCGATGACTGTTAAATCCTACGTTTTTTGTAATTCATTCTCAAAGATGATTGGTGTTCTCACTGGTTTATGCGCACACGCACCATTCGAAAGAACAATATTGTGAGTACTTCATCACGGTCATCTTGTCCGAGTTTGCCCTACAAGTAGATCGTTAATTGTCGGCAGTTCTATCCGTCAATTCGATCCGGGTCGTTGCGACCGACACTTTTACAGCGCAGGGCACGGTAAGGTCACGGAGCTGACACGGAGATAAGGAAGAATGCTCTTTGGTACTGCGGGCGTTTACACTGCATTACAAATGAAACGTATGCTCCTAGCGACGAGCGGTAGAACACGTCAGTCCGTCGCAGGGACCCTGACGGGCTGATTTCTCCGGGTATACCTGCCGACAATGAAGAACCCGTCGTCGTGAAGAGTATTCTTTCGGGATTAAAGGGGATGCCTGACGCGCGCCTTGTAACTTCGCAGCGGTCCTCGCGATTCACGTCCAAGCGATTAAAAAGGCGCGGTCGCAGACGTATCGGAGCATCGGTTTCGCTCGACGACGCTCGTCGCTCGGGACAATAAACACACTCGCTACCTGGCCAGTTATCTCCATCAGCTTCATCAGCTGGCCGCCGCTGGCGCGACGGACGAACCAGGACGGCTGGCGGAGGAGGAGGAGGAGGAGGAGGAGGAAGAGAGAAACGAAGGCGCGTACATCCCTTAAGCCTTCAATATACTGCCATGAACTAATCAGATGAGATCTAATCGTTGATCCGTTCGGGCCGCCGCGATATTTGTGCCGCCGTGAGGAGGATGTCGCCGGCGGAATTGAAAAGGGCGGTTAATAGTCCGCGGGACAGGGGGAGGCGCGGCGAGTAAGAAAAATAGGCTGAAGAAAAGGACAAGGAGGAAGGTTGGGATTAGGGCTTAACTTGCCAACGTTGTCGCGCACGCATACTCGACGTACACACACACACACACACACACACGCGTACACAGAGAGGAGGGTACGTCTCAAGATTTCCCCGGCTTGTTTAAAAGGCAGGCCGTGGGACGACGCTGAATCGCCATTGTGCGCGCGGCGTACATGCATCGCGAACACACACACATACACACACACATGCGCGAAGAGGAAAACACAAAAACCGCGCCACGTAGGTAGATCTGCCGTCGTGGCGCGGACCCCTTTGGCAGAAGAATGCCGGAGATAAAATCGCGCAAGCCCTGCATCGGCGCAACCCTTCGCTAAGGGCTGAGACGCACGACCCTCTCATTGTATGGCGCGGGGTTGTGTCGGTGTGTGTGTGCGCGCGCGCACGCGTTCCGCGAGACGTCGCAACGACCGTGAAGAGAGGAGGAGGGAGAGAGAGAGAGAGAGAGAACCGCATGCATACACACACGCGCACACACCGACACACCGCGGCGCGCCGGACGCGGCGTCGATAAATACACGCGCGTTCTGACGCTCTCACACGTGCGAGAGAGCGGTCCCTTGGTATCCGGGACTGTCTTCGGGTCTTTTCTCTTCCCGCTTGTCGTTCCCATTTCCTACCCCTGCCCTGGCCCCGGCCGTCTCTCTCCAGCGTCGGATCTCTTCTCCCCCTATTTTGCTGTCGCGGGATAGTTCCTCGCTATTTTTGAAGCTTATCCCATACGGAAAGTATGTGACAGTTCGGTCGGAACGGGCGGCGGGAGAGAAGCGATTCTTCGTGGCCTGCTGACACAGCCGACGCGTTCCTTCGCGCCATTGTGCGCGACACCCGCGCGGAGTTTTGAAAGTTTAATAGAGTTGTACTCTCCCCCCTCGGCGCGCGGGGTCGCCGGCGGGGGACGAAGGGAGCGTCGGTAGGTGGATATGACGACGGCGAGCGCGTCCCGCTGTAGAATCTTAAGGAGCGACTGGATGGCTTCGGGGAAATTGATAGTCTCTCATTGACTGGATTACGGATTTTCCTATCTCTGGTGTGACAGTTTTTATGGATGGTCACGGAATGAACGATAATCTTTAGCGCGCCCTTTTTTGAAGGCGATTGCTCCGCTGCCGGGGAGGAGGAGTCTACACAAGTGGACGTGCGCGGAAAGTAAGCGAAGGCGAAGAGACAGTGACCTGATCTGACGACTACCGTGGCGTCGGCTAAATATTATCGTGGTTGCCTAAAAATGCGGGCGGGGCGAAGTCGAAGGGCAGCGGTCGAGTTTCGACTCTCGAGGCATTAGCGGAAATTGCCGAAAATTCCTCGCATATTCCTGACTTCGATAAGAGACCAAGCCGCGCTCGAGAGGCCGAACGAAGTAGCAGCAGCAGTCAAGCTGGAGGTCAAGCTGGCGCACTCTAGGATTGGAGATCCAGAATTCCAAATTCGGGATTTACGAGCCAAGCTTCAAGATTCGGCAACGTAACCGGGGTCCTCCTTCATGCGTTCTTTTTTGAGCAACTTCACCGTGACCTGACTCAATCCGCAGAAGGGCTTAAAGCTGAGACCCTCCAAGACCTTCAGCGAGCGCCCGCTGACCAGGGCGGAGAAATGAGAGCGCACGGCGTCCCTGCTCTTCCTACACGCGATGACCCACTCGTTGACAAGCAGCTCCTTGTTCTGTCTGTGGAGAAACTCCAGACTCTCCTTCACAGACATTTCGGGGTCCTCCACGTGCACGACGACGTGGTGACGTCCGAATAGCTCGTCTGCCGGTAACGCGCGCACTGGCACCTTCTCCTTAACAATAATCTCCGACATGAAGCTCTTCAGCCAGTCTCTCGTGTGCTCGTCGTTGCAGCCGAATATCAGCGTACCTTCCCATTCCCAAGCGGCCTTAAACGTAGGAGTCTTCGTACCATTAGCTAGACCAAGGATCCGCAATTTGATCAGTCTCCTGATTAAAGCTACCTCATTGGCATCCAACTTCTTATCAGGGTAGTCGACCGGCACGACGGCTATCTCGCGGAGATCGGACGTTGCCTGGTCGTGAGGTTTCTCATCATCAATCTTCAACCTCTTGACCGGGGGTGCATCGGGCGAGTATTCGTCCATTTCCCGGTTCCTGGCGTATTTCAACGACGGGCCAGCCGTCGAGACATTCCTCGCCGCTGTAGCGAGCCCGCCGCTTATGCTGGCAGACAAGGCGAGGAAAGCTGTCCGTTCGGCCTCCTTCATTGCCTCACGTTGTTTCTTACGACGACGTCGGGCAGCGCCGCTCATCCTAACGCGACGTCTCTTCGCTGGTAATCGAGTCTGACTCTCGCTCGACTTCTGCCCGAGGCGGTTGGTTTCTCGCATCTCCGCTCGTGCGCCGTACGAAGCGGCCATGCTCGGCAGGGTCGCGCTTGAATTGCTCTTCGAATCTTTCTGTCCACTTTGCATCTTGGTCCCACGAGCATCGCACTGGCGGCGGCGATATCATCCGGGCAGAACCGCGATATCCGGCACTTGGCTGCGTACTTCTGAAGATCGCCCGGTATCCAGGAGGCAACGTATCCCTTGCACCATGTAGCCCTCGGCTTACAACTTGACTTGTGGGCTTTCTCTCTGTTGATCGCGCTCAGAAGCGTTCCCCGGCGACGCACAGTGAAAAATTTCAATGAAATCTTGCCGAGAACCTAGAAAATGAAAGTAGGCTTTACGAACTGAAATGTATGCGAACTCGAAGTTGAATAAACAGAGAAGATACGTGAATGGACGCGTTCGGCAGGAGAAGCTTAGTAAGTGCTCAATGATTATTATCTGTGGTTCGAGTATTTTTTTAGATCTTTGACAGATCCAGGAGAACGAACCAATCTGAAGCGATCCTCACTAAGCGCTCAGTAAGCAACTTTTTCTGCTGAATGCGACCATTGGCTACGTTCAGCAGGGAAAACTGCTTTGCAATTGTGTAAAATTCGTGAACCTGATCGGTGCATACTGTTGGATTCAGCTAAATTTAAGAGCATACGCTAATTAGATTCGGGAATTTTACAATAGTTGTAAAGCAGCTTTTTCTGCGGAACGCGGCCAACGATTTTAATGTCCTTAAAACGCCACACACACACACACACACACACACACACACACATACGCACACACACCCTCTGGCTACCGGCAGCGCCTCGAACCGGGGAGAGTTGGCGTTTAATAGCCTCGCAAATACGAAATAAGTTTCCCGTATCGTACTAAAGCACTGAATACATTATTTTTGCAGTTCAATTCAACGTGGATTCAGCTGCTGGAGAGTTGCAGAATGTGTTCGATATTAATGCACAATGAAAAAGTATAAGTTAATAAAGTTTTAGGAGCCAGTGGATAAAAGCTGCTGTACAGGTTAATAATATTTTTTTAGTAACTTGTGGAAAAAGTATTCAATTCTATGGAATTTGGTCAAGTTCTTGCTATGATATTACAAGCTTCATGTATGTTCAGCATTGGAATATAAAAAAAATTCTGCGAATATTTGCGAATGGTTATGTACACAATATTTAAAGAAGGCAAGGTTTGAATGTTGCCGCGTAGCCTGCAACATTCAAAGGACACTCACGAAATGTTACGTTTATTCTTCAGAGATGTGTGTATTTTTGAAAAGCGCTCACCGAGACAAATTCAACGATATACAATATTGCTGCGTGAAATGAAAACATTGGCCAAAAAAATTTTGTAAAAGAAATCAATTATTTTTCAATTCTATTACCATCTTATACCATACATTTTCCCTTTAAGCCGTGATAAGCTAAGTTTTTCAACAGTTTTGATTAAAAGATAATTTAATTATAAATTAATTTTAGGTCAGCACACGATCTAATAACATAACTGAAAAGAAAAAGAAAGGATGGATATAACGTTGTCTCGTCCTTTGTCTAAATTTGAAGCACGAAGTAAATATTTGCTGGAATATGTGCAGAGAAAATTACTGGGTATACTGAAGCGCTACCTAGGAAAATAAATATAATACACAAATTTACTTTTGGCATTAAGTCCTCGTCGCAAAAATGGCAGTCCTCGTCGTTGAATATTTTCGACACAAAAGCAGACATTAGCCTAGATACGATGATCATATGATGTCTGGTTAAAAATAATGTTTAAATGTGTTTTTCTTTTGAACTTATTTAAGAATTACTTTCAGTTTTCATCAGCGTAATTTATGAGTCATATAACCGTCTTCAGTAATTGAAATATTTATATTAATTTTTTTTACCAAACATTATAATATTGTACTGTTATAATTTTTTACCAAACATTATAACATTGTACTGTTATAATTATTTCTAGAAATTAAAATATTTATGTTAATTTTATTAAACAGTACGATAACATTGTATTGTTAAAACTTTATTTTCACTTTACAAAACTTTTCAAAGATATAAAAAGACTATGCAAATGAAACAGAAATGCGGAATGTACAAAGTGGGAAATAATAATTCGGCTACACGGTATTACAGTCAAAAATGAAATATTGGCAAAAACTTGAAATAGAATCCTTTTTGTTATCTTTAAATACAAATTTGTTGCTTATCCCTACCCTGCTATTTCTGGTTGCCTTCCTGCATTTATATGATTCTGAGAAGTCTTGGTCAGGATATTACTGAAATTCATCACAATGCGACGGGCAGGATCTTCCGAGCTGTTGGAAGGATGGAGGTGGGGGGAGGAGAGCGAACCGAATATAAGATAAATAAATAAAAGTAAACGAACATATAAATAAGTATTAGTTGATCGTTTGGTGAAAGGATAAGCGAGTCAATCCAACGAGTAAAGATCTACAAAATAAAGCTGAATCAAGAGGGACGCTATTGCGAATAAAGTTATTGTGGTTTTCAGGAAATCGCGAAAATACCGCGCGATTTTCTTTCGGAGGGCACGAGTGCAAGCTCTCTGGTAATTCCGCCGAAAATTTGCGTGAGCTTCGCGCGGGAACGTTGTGAGGGCCATAGAAAATGCGTTCTCGTTCAAACGTGAACATTCGCACAGGTTAGCGCGGCGGCTCGGTGAGGGTTTGTGAGCTTTTCTATTATCTAAAATCAATGGCCGTTGGAGGGGTCTCGTACAACCCCGGTGCGAAATATCGCGAAACAATTTATTATAATGAAACTTCACTCTCGCGGTCGGATCTCGCCGAAGCCGTACATAACAATTTACCCTGGTAAAGCGGAGTATTATATGTGTATGTATGTGTGTGTGTGTGTGTGTGTGTGTGTGTATGTGTGTGAAGTATATACGTGTGTGTATAGGTTTTATATAAGCGCCAGTAACGCAATTACTGCAACAATACCACCCGAGTCGTTATAATTGAAGGTGAGGAAAGTTAAGGTAAACTGTAACATGAAAAAAAAAAACTAATTGACGGGAACCGCAATTCTGATTTCCTGAGAAATTACTTTCTCGCATGCAATTCGCCAGCGGGAATGTTTCTTGTTTCTGCTTCTTCCTTTTTTCTCGTTTGGTTGTCTCGCGAACGTTCCGTGAATTACATAGCGCGTTAATTTATATTTCTCGCCCCTACGCTTCTTTACGTTTTCTCTCATTCAAATCGCATTTCCACTTTTCTCACATGCGCGTTTTTCTCGTTTCTCGGATACTTTTGGAAAGCAACCACGCCTAATTACCGTGAATTTAGTGCCAAAAGTATTCAAACGACTAATTATTATCGCTATTTGTATTACACCATTTTCCCAGACTTATCTATATACTGTTATATGTTCGCATGTGACAACAAATGAGTATTTGTTCTAATCTAAACTAATCAAAGCTGGCCCCTAACCACTGCAATATAATTGCTTTATTTTTTAATGTAAAATGTTTATGCAGAAAATTAGGCGTGTAAACAAATATATAATCGTACGTTGATGTTTTGCTTGGAAAAGTAATATACAGTCTGTAAAGTAAGAGCGTGTACGGCATAAATGGCAGTTGGCTTCAAATATCGTCCTAGTTTTCTTGTGAGCCGATAGATGAAATCTTTGTCGTGAATGCTTTGTCACAAAAGATTCAGTTGGCGTCGAACTCTAATCTGAGAAACACGTTAACCGCCATGAGTGCCGCATACGCATCGCGCTACGAGGCTGTGTTCCTTTGTTCCTACCCCAAAGGATCAAAAATGTCATATGCAGTGGCTGCTAAATACATGGGAAAGTCCAAATCGTTCGTCGCTAAGTGGGTTCAGCAATATAAGAAGATCAAAAATGTCGATGACTTGCCAGAACGTGGCTCGATAGGCAAAGTGACGCCGAATATGGAAAAAAAATTGTGAATTTGTTTAAGCGGAACCCGACCTTAATGCTTAAAATTTAGAAGTGTTTGTTGCCGACTGCTGAACGATGCTTCATAAAAAAAAACGAGGACTGGATCTTACAGGAAGACAACGACCCAAAACACCGGAGCAAGCTTTGCACCGAGTAGAAAGAGCAATCTGGCATCGTCACACTTGATTGGCCATCGCAGTCGCCAAATGCAAATCCCATTGAAAATGTGTGGGTATATCTCAAGCACAAGCTTCGAGGAAAAAGAGTGTGCACTTTGAAGCAGCTGACACGACAAATTCGTCTCATTTGGAGGTCTTTACCGAACGAATACGCAGTCAACTTAGTGGAAAGTATGCCTCGGAGATGTCAGGCAATTATCAATGCCGGTGGTGTGACTGGACTCATTATTAATGGTATAGCATTTTTCTTCTCATGGAGTACAACAAATCCATGTACTTAAAAATCATTAAAAATAAATTTTTCTACACATTAACCCACGTGCACGCTCTTACTTTACAGACTATATTAGGCATATGCAGAAGTTTTAGTCTTTTTCTTCAGCCCTTTAATGTAATCATTTTAAATCGAAATATTTTCCCGCCGTTTTGTGTTTTTGTAAGGTCGATATTGAACTTTCTAAAATGTCATTCATTATGATTCATTGGTGCACATAATCTTTCGTATCCTACCATATACCTTTTAACTGCAAATATTTAGTTTTGTCACTGATGTAGAAGGTTATCTGAGATGCACTCACGAATGTCTATGTTTAGAATTATTATACATAATCCACTTTTCATCGCCAGTAACAATTTTCGATAAAACATCTGTTTTGCGTTGCGTCTTTTGGAAAGCGATGAAACGCACGTATTCAACTGGCGGATAACGCTGTTCTCCGACAATTCATGTTTTGCGACCCATTTTCCGAACTTCTAAATTTTTTCCATTTCATGCAGTCACCTTGAAACTGTTGCTTGATCAACTCCAAGACGTTCTGCAAGTTCTACGTACTTGCGTTTGGAGCGGGCTTTCATTCAACAACGCTTTCAAATTGTCGGCTTCAAACTTTCGTGGCGTTTCAGGACGCGGACATCAAAATCAACGCTTTTAAAGCGACGAAAGCAATATTTGTCTTCATATTGTGGAACACAATATTTTCCCCAAGAACAGAGTAAACGGATTCACATACTTTAGCAGCATTATTTCCTTGCTGGAATCCATATCGAATGCAGTGTCGAATATAAAGTTTTTGCTCATTGTACCAACTGTTATTCTTAAGGTTAGGTGCACCAATGAATCATAATGAATGGCGTTTTAGAAAGTGCGATACCATCTTTGCAAAAACACAAAACGACAGGAAAATATTTAAAAATAATCACATTAAAAGGCTG